CGGAGGAGAAAACAAGGACCGTTACAGCAGATCGCGCTCGACTGCACAAAAGCGCGAGCTTCTCCCCTGAAAGACGCTTTCAAAGTTAAACGATTCTGTTACGATAATGAGACGCCGCTTAAACGGTTTTACTTATCATAAATGTGTGTGTGTGTGCGCGTGTGTGACGAAATGAGGCTTTACGCGAACGAACGCAGGAAATACAAGCTTTGCGTATATGCGTAATATCTGATTATGCGTGTGTTTGTACGTACAGAGCGCTGCGCGATTTACATGACAAATTATCTCATTAGCGGACCCTTTGAGGGTCACAAAGCCGATTTTTCCTTCAATCTAAATGTCATCCTTTGCCTTCATAAAGTATCGCAATGATTGTGCTTCGAATTGCATCTTTACAAACCACCCGTTTAAAATTAAGTGAGTAATGAGAAGTTAATTTTCAAAGAGAACTGATCCTCAAATTGCACAACGAGCTTATAAATATAATTTGTCGCGCGACAGTCTGTATATACATATAGCACGCACGTGTATCGTGTGTATTAGCGTGTATACATGATTTTTTTTCACTTCGTTTGCTGCGTACATGTATAAAGAGCAGGGTTGGGGAAGTTACTTTATAAAAGTATCGAGTTACAGTTACAGTTTTCTCGCTAAAAATGTAACTGGTTACGGTTACAAGTTACCAATTCTGAAAAGTAACGCGTTACAGTTACTCAAAAAGTAACGAAAGGTTTCTTTGCAGTTACTCTATTGCAATAAAAATAAAAATAGCAAATCTGCATTTGAATTGTAAAGTGTCGATGAAGGCGTTTATGCGCAAAGGCAGGACCCAATGCGAGATCTGTGGAGGTTTACAATATATATAAAGTAACTATTAATGTGTAGCTGAGTTAAGTTACGGTTACAGACGGAGAGAAAGTAACGAAGTTAAGTTGGAGTTACCAAAAGAAAGTAGCTGTAACTGTAACTTCGTTACAAGTAACGAGTTACTTCCCAACCCTGATAAAAAGTGGCCGAAGAGTCGCGTTCCATATACGGCGGTGCCGTTGCGTGTCACGCCTGTGATACAAAACGCATATTTGGTGTCGGCACTGTATCCTCAAATAAAACGGGATGTCCGCGTGCCGCCGGGTCGTTCCAGGATGGATCGTCGGATCGAGATAACGCCCGCGGCTCTCGCGATAAAATTAATTAATTGGATCGCGACAACTCTGAGAACTCGTCGCCGAGAAAGCGCCGAGGAATCAATTCCTTCGTCCGCGAGAAGTTCACCGGAGGGAAGACCGTTTCTTCGAAAGAAAAGCCGACGGCGGGAACGCGCGCGATCGCACTCTGGATCTCTCGAGTATCTCTCTCGCAGAGGAACGACGTCGGGGGTGATTGAGTTCATCCGAGGGTGGGAGTCGATTGGAAATGATTTGGAAACGTCTAAACAAGGCACAAGTCAAGACTGTTTATCCGAAAGGTGGATGGTCCGTGAAAGTTCGTGTATGCGAAAGGGAAGTCCCGTCGATTCGTTCCTCGCGTTCGTAGAACGGATATCGCCTCTACCAAACCAAAGGATAGACGGGAGAGCTGGCTTCAGTCGCGTTCTGAATCATCATTATCGTGTCACCCTCGTCGTATCGTAGCGCACACGACGATCGCGATTGTGTATGTACGTGTAGCGTTATATGCGCGTTGATTAATTTCACCCGCGTGTCGTCTCATTTTGAAAATCACTAGCAGCGCCGAAAACGCGTATGCGCCTCGTGTTTCGCGACAGCGATAGTACAAGTGATAACGGTGTAGCGATGATTGCAACGGCGACAGCGGTGACAATGGCAATAATAAGATCATTAATCAAAAGTGAATAATAATCGCGCCGTAATCATAATGATGCGGTAATATCAGATAACCAACACTATAATGTATACACGCGTGTATACAGGGTATCCCGGAATTGTGGCAGCCTCTTTCATCCGGGAATTCTTCGATCGATTTCGAATCGATCTCCTCCCCCTTTTTTTTTCAATAGAAAATGGCACTGATACATTGCTTTTCCTCCCCCTCCCTCCCTCCCCCCCACCCAACTACAAGCGAATCTCGGACATTGCACTTTGAGTCTTACGTTCGGTTTCGAGAATTGAATTGTGGAAAATCGATGACACTCGTGGAAATTTACGTTACAAGGAAAAGTCGGTGAGGGGAAATCCACAGATGAAAGGAGTGACGATAGCTCTGGGACATCCTGTATATATCGTAGTGCTCCTTTTTATATATACACACACATATATATACATATATGTATATATGTATATATACACATGTATACTTATATATTTATATTTATAATTATAATATGTATTATTTATAATTGTGTATATTATATTATATATTTCATTATTATTTAACACATTCTTTTGTACAAGTAAATTAATTAAGAATAAGTATAACTTGGTAGCAAAGAGAGATAGAATTATTATTCACTGTATATTTTTATATCGTAGTGAGAAGAAAGAGATATATATCTTATTTCATTTATTATAATATTCTTTCATTACTTTTATTATGTTTCAGACCGTAACACGCTGACGATGCCGTCATTCGGCTTCCGGAGATGCTCTTTGCCTCGCGTCTCTCATCTACGCACTTGCCCCTCTTGCCCGGTACCCGATATGATTAGGCTTACGATCGTCCGCGCTGCTCGCCGACGCTAAATTTCATCTCGCGTAGCTCGCCCAAGGCGCGACGTCTCGATTTCTAGAGAAGAGGTAGAAAAAACAGCGAAAACGACGACAAAATCCCGCGATACGACCGCGAGCGATTATTACTATAAATATTACAGACGAGAGACGAGAGTAGCCGCCCTCGATTCTGATTATCTTCGGGACGTCACGTGCGACAAAGCGTATTGAGCGCGTGACAGCGCGGACGATCGAAGCGGAAGCGTCTCGAACGGCGAATCGCGTTCGTTTCCCGCACGTGTTTTATATTTCTCTAGCGATTATAACTCCCCGTGGAATCTCCACCCCTCGAAATAAGTAACTCGCAAAAATGTAATATATTATTTTCATCACGAAATCGTTTACGGCACGTCGTCATCTCGCGATTACGGTTCTCGAGTTTTTTTTCCTTTACCTCACGCCTCGGCCGTTCTGTACCGCTGCGCCGCAAAATTCACGGCAAGGATCCACTCCCGTGCGCCAGGTAACAAGCAGATCGCGGCTGCTGTTTTCAGGCTTATATCAGGCAGGAGCACTCGAGACAATAGATTGACGCCTTTGTCACGCGTGACGCAAGGTGCTGCTTTCCTGTGAAAACGCATCGTCTTCTCTTTCTCTAATTCTTACTAGCCCGCGCGCGTTACCTCAGCACCATTATGACCTACTATCGGATTTTAATTTCGTGCCTATTGGCGGAGCTCACGCCCGGATAGCATGTTACAATCGCCCCGCCGGGGCGTGCCTCTAATCGTTTCAATTTACACGGCTCTTTCTAGCAAACTTGTGCGACTAGTCGTGGGGGCAAGAGATATGCATCGCATGTCTAAACGAGCGTACGTTTCATAGCCCACTGATATACATGTACGCATTTCAGAGTCCCCGTTCATGCGGAATTAAGTTCTCCTCTTGACGTCTCGACGTCAGGAAAAGTGCTATTATTCAAAACTATCTCGTTTTCGACATGTGCACCTCTAAAACTCACCCTCTAAGATATCACAAGATACATGACAAAACGGAAGTTCATAGAGATCACATGTAAGACGATACACTCCAGCCCGATGCTACGCTGCCGTGATACGAGCGAGATACTTGCGTGATATCATAACCGGTAGCTCGGTTTTAACGAAACACACTGGTGGTCGCTATTGAGACCAGCTGGAACCCGACGATCATTATGCAACATGGCGAGATTCACCTCAGTAACTTAACGGATAACGAATATCTTGCGTGTAAGATCATGGGCCGTGCGCATGAAGTGGAGGTACAACGAAAACAACTTCATCTCCGTGAGATACAGCGCGGAGATACAAACGAAAACGAGATATTTCCTTCGATATCGCACGAACGAGAATGTCGAATGGATCCTCCGGGGCAGAACGGCCAAGATAGATCGTGTCGCAACGAGTGGTAGTTGGGAACGATGCGCGCGCTCGACGTGCATTTCTTTCGCGCGTTAATTATTTCGTGCGATCGTGACGGACGTGTGCACGCGCGGCAGCGAAAAACACGGTATTCGGATTACATAATAATTAATAATAATGATAATAATAATTAATAATAATATATAATATTTATAATATTTATGTATATTAAATAAATTTCTCGATATCATATTTATATATTTATATATATATATATATAATTTAGGACTTAGCCCTAAGCTTAGCTCGACTTAAGATTTAAGTAACCCCACCCCGTGGCGCGGCGGATGCATGCCCTTACGCGTCATCCAGGGCGGACACATCTTAAGAACCTAGTAAAATCCTAAAACCGGAAGCTCCGCCGTGACGACAGGCCAGCTGCCTTCTTTGTTTCTTTGGCGGAGACCGCTCGTCCGTTCTCTCTTTCTCTTTCTCTCCCTCTCATTCTCTCTCTTTCACACTGTCTATGCGATTCCTCTCATTAGATAGACGTAGCCGCGCGCGAGCCGTTCGCTTCCGTTCTCTCCTCGCCTTTTCGCGCCGGAGAAAGAAAAGACACGTGAGAAATGGTGCCCGGCGGAGACGGCAGGGTCGTCCTCTCCCCGGTGCATGAACATCCGATTCGCTCGACGTGTAAACGAATCTATCTACAAGATATATCGCTCTCTACGTCCCGCTCGTCGTTGATACGCGCGTGCTCGTATACATCGGGTCGATTAATCCGCGAGAAGTATACGTGGTGTACACATTCATGGACGTCGGGAAGAGAAGAGAAGCGAGGAATTGCGAGAGACGGAGTAAGCAAAGGAGACAGACAGACAGAGAGAGAAAGAAAAAGAGAGAGAGAGAGAGAGAGAGAGAGAGAGAGAGAGAGAGAGAGAGAGAGAGAGAGAGAGAGAGAGAGAGAGAGAGACAGAGAGGGAGAGGGAGAGAGAAAAATAGCAAGGAATAATTGCGTAAACGGGGCGAGAGATTGGGAACGTCGCGCGCGCGCGCGCGGCTCATCGCAGAAGGGAGGCTAAACGTTCTCGTTCTCCATTCGCGAGCGCAGCGTACGCGAAAAAAGAGATACGGAGGCAAATCCTCGGAGAAGAGGAGGCCCGCGACGAAACGCCCGGCTGGACGCTTCTCGATGTTCACACGCAGCCCTCCTTTCCTCGACTGGTGCTTTCGTCCGCTATGCGCGCACCGGGACCGATGGCGATGCTCGTTGAAAGTCGCATCGACGAAAAATCGCTTTCGCTTCGCGGCCGTCTGCTCCGTTCCTCTGTCTTCCTCTTGCGACGGCGATGGCATCTCCTGACTCCTCGATGAACAGCGCACTGGTTGTAACAGCCGGGGGGGAGAGACGAGCAAATGGTTTTGCAAATGTTCGGTGGTGGCGGCGACTGCGCCGGGATCTTAAGACCCGTCCATCCATCCGCCATCTGAAAAACGTTCATTTTATTACATTGACGTAATGGCACGAGACGTTTACGCTCTTCAGTCCTTTCCCCACGGTAGTATCGGACGAAGAGCACGGTGCTTCGGCTGCTGGTTAGTTTCTTTTTCTACAAAATTGGAATAACGTCGAAATGATTCTCGAGGAAGGAGATTATCACAGGTCGACGGCTGAGGGCCAGTTTCGCAAACATCGGTTAACTGCTAACCGAAGGTTAATTGATCCTCTGTCTCTTCTTAACTCTTCTGAACTCTAGTTAACAGTTAACCGATGTTTGTGAAACTGGCCCGAAAGAATTCACGTCGTCCAAATTCATTCGAGCGGTCTCTCGCGTGAGAGGAAACGTCAAAGTTACGAAAGATAGATTAATAATTAACGGCAGGTTGTTAATTCAAATGAGAGTCTGAGGTCGGTCGGGACAGCGCGTTAGATACCGCGTAGCTCCGGGAAATTCACTGCCTAAGCCGGGCGGAGGCGCGTGCAAGGCTCTCCCTTCTGTCTTTCGACGTTCAGAATCTGCGGCCAGCACAGACGCGTACCTTGATTGGACGAGTGTGGGGCTCACGACTGCGGTTGCGGCATGTTGTGGTCCCGCTTGTCTCCCGCAGGAGGCGGCGGCTTTGTCACGGCTTTCTCCTCGTTCACCGGCGTGGGCGGTGCGTCTTTCCTCGGTGGCATCCTTTCGTTTATGGCGTCCAAGCCCTTGGCCTCGGCGAACGAGGTGATTTTGTGATTCGGCGAGAAGCCCTGGAGAGCTGCACGGGACGGAAAACAAAATGATAAAGCAGAGCGCCAAGACGCGCGGTATCGTGAGAGAGAATCGCTGCGACGAGATTCTTTCCTTTTCGCGATTATTCAGTTCTCATCAAACGCCTATTGTCCGCGAATAATGTAATAATCGCGGCACTCGCGCGCTTTTCGGCGCGCTGTAAGGACAATTAAATATACGTACGGTTCGCTGCATTAAAAAATTTCTAAGCTGAATTAATACATATGTATCCAAACGTTGTTTAATAAAATTCTTACCGTTTTTCAGAGAGGTTTTGCCACCAGATAATGCACCGAGCGGCAAAGCTCCAGTCGGCGTCAAGCCCTTCAACTGCAGCACGCTCTCGCTCTCCTCTCTGTGAAACAGAGATTAAAATTATGTTACAATAATAATTAAATAATTAAAATTCTCGGCAAGCGCAATTATGAACGTTGTAGGTCAGCTTTTTGCGCAACGCTTTATCGCAATGTTTAACTCGGTAAAGAGAATTCGCCGTCGCGTGGCCAATGAATCAGCTTGCGCACGTCCATTATTATCTTTGCGCTAAAGTATTTCAGGACACACGCGGCGACGTATTCAGACATTTCAGACGCAAGGTGTTTTATTTTCAAGGTATTTTACAGACGGACTGTCTTTGTCGTTCACTCACCTCAGGACGGAGAACACCCGTGCCATTTTGCCAATGGCTCTGATCTTGTTTCTGATCACTTCCTTACGTAGATTGGCTGCTGCACCTACAAATATCAGAGACGCGTATTATGGCATTCGTGCGACCACGAGTATTTAGCACCTAGATCATCCAGTGACGATTGACGTGGCGGAAGGAACACGGGGCGAGCCGCCTGAGTCGTAACAATTAGCCTTATTCCCCGAACGTCGGCGTCCAATTGAGAGGAAATTAAGGGCGGACCGGCAGTTACGGCGAATCCTTGGAAATTCCCAACCCGCGCCGCGTTTCGTAAATGCCACGCGCGAAAGTATTCCTCGGGGTCGAGGTTGATGGCGCGCGGTTGCCAGCGGTACAAAGGCCGGTCCCCCCCCATTGATTTACAATACGTTTTGATCAAGAGACCCAGCGGCCTCGCCACGTCGCCTCGTCACCGATTTGCCCGCGCGGCCGTCGCCGCGCACGCAAATCGCTTGCGATGATTACTCGCCGGTCTCGCAACCGTCAACTACCGTTCTCCCTATCAGAGCTTACCGGGGGGGGGGGGGGATATACGTTATGTTATTAATAATCACTCGTTATTCTCATCGGGTCACGCCAAGACATAACAACGCCAAACTACGGGCAAAAAGTCTGCGCACATCACGAGCGGGGTCGGGGGGCAGAACGTGTATTGTACAAGCAAGCCACGTGACGAAAAAAAACAATAAAAAAAGTTGCACGTGCTTCGTCGCGCTCGCAGGGCAATCGCGCGCTCTTCGCAGCGAAAAGGGGTGGTCCATTCGCCGACCCTACGGGAGAATCGAGAAAGTCGCGATGCGAAGAGCGCGCGGACTGCGGACGCGCGGACGCACCAGAAGCTGCGTAAACGTGCGTAAATGCAGTGTAGAGAGCTTTCGCAAAAACTGTATTTTGTGTGTGTGTGTGTGTGTGTGTCTGTGTGTCCTAGACACATCAAAGATGCTGCGTAAACTTGATGCGAGAGAAAGAGAGGCATGCGCATGCTGTACAAGCGCGAAACGTACGCACCATCGGCCACTACAAACTCTTATCGTTACCACTTCGCCCTGGCAATCGCCTGCTACCCTTCGGGGCTCGTCGCCAGCGCGCAGGAGTCGCGGCCCGGTTTACGAGCGGATTCGGCAGCCCGTGCCCGCGCTCGCCGCGAAAGGCTCCCGGGGGCCGCCGGCGCAGCGGAAGCGGAATTTCACGGTTTACGACGTCCGACGGGGAACGTCATTTAAAGGAATTTATACGGACGTTCGCCCCGGGCGGCGACTCTTTCGCAGCGAGCCGTCAGTTTATCTGTTTGCTCGTTAATTGACGCAACGGTCTCGAGCCTGGTCGCTCGAACCGATTGTACCCTTAACGAGAGGGGAGGGGGGGCTCGTCCCGTTTAGCGCCGCTAAAATCTTCCGTCGGCGAGAGGTGCAGGAGACACGGACACGCTCTCCTTCTGTTTTTTTTTTTACCAGGGCGTTAAAGTATCATGTCTATCGCTCCTCTCTTTGATATCTTCGCGTCGGGAAGATTCGCTTCGGGACGACCACAACTAGCGCTCGTTGGAAAGAACAATAGAGCGTATTTACGAAGAGGCCGGGCCCCGCGTCATTTTCACCCCTGGTCGCGCGATCCCGTCCCCAAAATTCGATCGCGTTCGGCGCGCGCCGTTCGACAATGAAGAGAAAAAAAAAGGGACAAAAGCCGCCCCTCGCGTCCCGCCTCGTTCGCGCTAAAACGGACGCGGATCGAAAGGGCCGCGGCGCCGGAAGTATCGACGTCGCTTCTCGTCGCGCGTCTCGGTCGCGCGCCGTATCGCGTACACGCGATTCCCGGCATTCTAATGATTTACGGCGACGGATCCCCGCGGTCCTCCCGGTCGCCGCCGCCGCGATAATGTATCGGGCCGATTTGTCAGAGCCGGCCGGGTGGGGCGCGAAATTTCAATCTTCCACGTCGTTCGCGAAATCTCTGACCGTGCGCGACGGCCGTTTTGTTTCCGCTGACGGCGAGCCATCTGAAACGGCGGGATCGATCCCGAGCGTCGCGGGGACTCCGGGAGGATCGGCGCGCGGCCCCGCGTCGCCGATAGATTAATCAGCGGGATGCCTTAAATAGCCGCCGAGCCGCCCCGAATATCGGCGACGTTACGCGCGTCGCGGGTCAATTAAATGACGCCTTCTATAATTAACGGGGGCCGCCGGGAGAGACGGCCGTCTCTCTCCCGGCGAAATTGTTCGATATTACGCCGCGCCCGCACAGGTGCGTTTCCACGGCGTTTCAATCTCGCGTAATCCGAAATCTCGCGGTTACCGGGGTTACCGCTCCGAGGGCTATACGAGGATTGCGCCTATCCGGCGGAAACGGGACATCGACGTCGTCGTCGTCGTCGTCGTCGTCGTCGTCGTCGCGCGCGCGCGCGAGAGAGCGGGTATCGGGTTTTAGTCGCCAATTTTCGCGTAACGAGATTATCCCGCCGCTCGCAGTTTATTATCCACGGGTGCGGGTACGACTCGCGAGTCCCGGGATTCTCTCACGGGAGATCGGGCCGATCGGCGAAAGACGACTCGAGCGGGGGTCGCGGGGACGCCGAGGACGCGCGTCGCGTTTCCCGGTTCTCGCGTCGAGGATCGATAGTCGAGTCGAGGCACGTCAAATATTAGGCGCTCGGCCTTGGAGCGAAGAGCGCAATTTCGCGTCTCGCGAGGGAATCCCCGCGGCGGAGGCGGAATTTGGGGAATTACGTCCCGCGCGACGACGTCCCGGCGAAAGACGCGGAAAAGCGTACTGAAAAAAAAAGTTCGCTACCGTAGCCAATCATGTGGTTTGCTGAAAGGATTTTGATACCGTAACTATACATGTCTGAAGCACAGCAAATGGTTTGCCGTGCTCGCACCCGTTACAATAGGCACGGTAGCAAAATATTCAGCTGTCACAACTAAACATTGGCGGTCCATCTTTTACAACTGAAATTTAGTTGCCGCACGCAGCTACGGTAGCTACATTTTTCTTTCCGCGCGGGATCGCTCATTCCGCATCCTTCGGAGAGGCGTCCTCGCTCTTCGATCGAACCGAGGCGCGCATCCGGGGCCGCAGAGAGAAAGAAAGAGAGAGAAAGAGAGAGAGAGAGCCCCGGGGATAGTCCTGCGCTCACAAACGGAGAGAGGATGCGGCACATACAACGACGTGTATAAACGTCAACTACAAACTTATACAACAGATCAAGCCTTTTGCTCTCTATACATTTATGTGTCCAGCGCACGGTTACGCACACGTAATCTGCCGCAACGACGTCATCGGTGCACTCGAAATAGCGTAATTCGAGATTCGCGCCGCGCCGTGTGACGCGAACGCGCGCAGTGCACAGTGTTTCGGCGTGACAATTCGGGGGCGGGAGTTTTCGCGAGAAAGAGAGACACAGGGTGCGAAACGGATCCCGGCGTTTCGATGAAAATTGAACGTAGATTATCGCGCAATCCCCGATGTCGCGGTGATATTTCGACGAGCGCTGATATTAACGCGCGACTTTGACGCGGTTCTAATTAGGGTAAGGTGACCAAATGCGGATCGACAATTCGACGAGTCGCTGGTAAGCGACACTTCAAAGCGATTCACTTAAATTTTGCTCTTTCATACATTTACAACTTTATGCTATATATTGTCGATGCCATGATAGGCATCGACGTTTTTCTTATGTCGCTTATCAGCGACGCATCAGAGTGTCGATCCGCATCTGGTAACTGGTGCGAATTTGGTCACCTTACCCTACTCGCGACCCAACTCCAATTATTCAAATGGGAGCTTGACGTTTGAACCATTTAGGTTCGGAGGGTCCTCGCGGGCCCAGGTTCACAAATCGATGTCGATCATGATTTTTCGGGCCGTTTAATGACGACTAGAATCTTCATTGACCTCGTAAGAAGACCCGCATACTGGTCGATATCTCATCGACGTACACTGATAGAAAAATATCTAGTATTTGAAACTATAGTTGCATAGTAAAATAATTATAGTCGGGAATATCTTTTTTTAAGTAATTATTACTATCATGTTAGTAATAGCAACCATATAGACACAGTGATGCCTATTTAAAGACTAATTAAAAAACTTGCTGTCCATATTTTATAATACAAGTGAAATTTAGTTGCCACTCGTAGCTACTGCAGTTTTTTCGTGCAGATATCACGATAAAGTCTTCTAAATATCAACTTGATTATTGATTTACATGATCTCGATTGGATTTCAATGATATTCATCAGACTCTTCGTCGACTTGTGAACCCGGGGGAGGGGGACTCCCTTCGTCCCCGCGAAACGGTGTATCGTGTCAACGGTACCCCACCCGTCGTACCGGAATCGTCGAAATTTAGGGTAACACGGGATTTCGAAGCCGGCGACGGGTCTGAAAACGGACGAGGTTGTAATGACCCGCCGTGTAATGATCGCCGCGCGTAACGCGATCCGATGTTATTTTCGCGCGTGCACGCCGTTGCGACAGTTGTCTACCGAGCTAACATTTATCAAAACGCAAGTCGAGTCTGGCACCGAGTTCTGAGCATGCCGCAGGCCCGTCGTATATATTCTCGCGGTTTCTCATCCGTTTTACCCGTCGTCTCCGAGTCGCGACGCGACCGCTCGCCCCTCTCGCAAATCCGCGGATGCGCGCCCCGTTAATTTATCGGGACGGAGGAGGCTGCGAAAGGCGATCGCGCCACGTTCCGATGCGCAAAGATACTCTATCTTATCGATGTTGCAAGAAAAAACAAGATAGATCGATGAAACTCTTTCGCGAATCACTTAGATCCCGCTCGACGCTACTTGCCGCTGCGGAAATAAACCGCCGTGCGATTCGCTCGACCTGATTCGACGCGATTCGCCCTCCCGTTTCTGTGCTCGAAAACAGCGCGGGGATAACTAGTGCTCTATCGGATTCCCCAAAAGCAGTTTTAGAAGCCGCAGGCCACCCTCGTCGAACCGACTTGCGAAACGGGCGGTGCTTGTCCCGTCAATTACTCTCGCACAATGAGTGCGACACAGATAACCGTCATCTTACAGATCACCGATGCTC